CACGCCCCACCTGCTGCACCACCACCACCACCACGCGCCCCTCGCCCACTTCCCCGGCGACCTGGTGCCCGCCAGCCTGCCCTGCGAGGAGCTGGCGGAGCCCGGCCCCGTGCCCGCCGCCGCCGCCCGCTACGCGCTGCGCGAGATTGAGATCCCGCTGGGAGAGCTGTTCGCCCGGAAGTCCGTGGCCTCCTCCGCGTGCTCCACGCCGCCGCCCGGCCCCAGCCCGTGCCCCGGGCCCACCACCGCCTCGCCCGCTTCCCCCTCGCCCGCCGATGTGGCTTACGAGGAGGGCCTGGCGCGCCTCAAGATCCGCGCGCTGGAGAAGCTGGAGGGGGACCGGCGGCTGGAGCGGCTGAGCGAGGAGGTGGAGCAGAAGATCGCCGGCCAGGTGGGCCGGCTGCAAGCCGAACTGGAGCGCAAGGCCGCGGAGCTGGAGACGGCGCGGCAGGAGAGCGCGCGGCTGGGGCGCGAGAAGGAGGAGCTGGAGGAGCGCGCGTCTGAGCTCTCCCGCCAGGTGGACGTGAGCGTGGAGCTGCTGGCCTCTCTCAAGCAGGACCTAGTGCACAAGGAGCAGGAGCTGAGCCGCAAGCAGCAGTGAGTGGCCCGCCGCGCCCCGTGGGGGAATGTGCCCGCCACTGTTCCCTAGTGGGTGACCCTGTGAGTCATTGTGCTACCGCCATCACCGTGAGTGTGGCAATGAGTGTGTCTGTGTGTGAGGCCATGAGCATGTCACGATGGTGCCTGTGGGGCCCACAGTGTCATGACTGTGTTTGGGACTGTGAGTCCATGATCTTGAAACATGTTCTTTAAAATATATTTATTATCGATTTCAGAGAGGAAAGGGGGAGAGAGAGAGAGAGAGAGAGAGAGAAATATCAATGATGAGAGAGAATCATTGATCGGCTGCCTCCTGCACGCCCCATAGTGGGGATCAAGCGTGCCACCCGGGCATGTGTCCTGACTAGGAATCGAACGGTGACCTCTTGGTTCATAGGTCGATGCTCAAGCACTGAGCCAGGCCAGCCAGTGAAACACATTCTTCACTTGGCTTCCAGGACACTCTCCTGGGATCTCCTTCTGTCTCTTTGCTCCTCCTCAGTCTTCGTTGCTTCTCCTTGTGTCTCTGGTCTGTAAGTGTAGAATGATGAAATATGCAGATGTTATGCATCTGTCCCCATAGTGATGCAAGCTCCATGGTGGCAGGAATTTTTCTCTGCTTATTCACTGCTGTGTCCCCAGTACCTAGAACAGTGCCTGGCACCAAGAAAGTGCTCAGTCAGTGCTGAGTGGATGCATGAATGACTGTGAATGCAATTGGGAGTAAATACTCTGTGACCCTTAAGTGTGCTGTGTGTACGTGGAACTTCTGGAGGTGGTGCAATGGGAAGTGTGCTTCTGCATCTGAGAATGTTTCTGAAAAATGTGTGTGTGGTGGGGAAGGGGTTAGGAGGTGTTTGAATGTGTTGGTGAGACTGTGCCTTTCTCAGACTGTGTGCCTGCGAATAAACATGAATACATGTATTTGAGTGGGGCTATGTATTGGACTTTGTGTACTTGGCTGTGTGACTGTGTGTGTCTGTGAGTGTGTCTGGAGGCAGGAGGTGGCTGTGTGTGACTGAGTATGCCTGGGGCACAGGGATGTCCAGTTGTGTGGGGCTGGGTGAGTGTGTAACTCGGAATATATGCTGGCATTTTTTTAAAACAATTTATAATTTTTACTTATTTTTTTAAAAATATATTTCTTTTTTAAAAATATATATTTTATTGATTTTTTACAGAGAGGAAGGGAGAGAGATAGAGAGTTAGAAACATCGATCAGCTGCCTCCTGCGCCTCCTGCACATCTCCAACCAGGGATGTGCCCGCAACCCAGGTACATGCCCTTGACCGGAATCGAACCTGGGACCTTTCAGTCCGCAAGCCAACGCTCTATCCACTGAGCTAAACTGGTTTCGGCTTTAAATATATTTCTTTATTGATTTCAGAGAGGAAGGGAGAAGGAGAGAGAGATAGAAATATCAATGATGAGAGAGAATCATTGATCAGCTGCCTCCTGCACACCCCCTACTGGGGATCGAGCCTGCAACCCAGGCATGTGCCCTTGGCCGGAATCGAGCCTGGCACCCATCGGTCCGCAGGCTGACGCTCTATCCACTGAGCCAAGCCGGCTAGGGCTATGCTGGCATTTCCGTGTGTGCCATTGTGTGGGACAGTGTGCCTGGGCCTGTTCTATGTGACCATGAGCAGACACCGGGGGCAGCTGTGCCCCAGGTTGCTCCCCCACTGGCCAGGGCCTCCTCTAGAGGGTGGGTGGGCGGACAGGCTGAGGCACGGAGGTAAGAGACTGCTCTGGGCCCAGGGAGGTGGTGCAGATCGACCAGTTCCTGAAGGAGACTGCGGCACGGGAGGCCAGCGCCAAGCTGCGGCTGCAGCAGTTCATCGAGGAGCTCCTGGAGCGGGCTGACCGTGCCGAACGGCAGCTGCAGGTCATCAGCAGCAGCTGCGGCAGCACACCGAGTGCCAGCCTGGGCCGTGGGGCTGGGCCCGGGCCCCGGGGCCCAGGCAGAGTGGTGAGTGCCCATCTCCCTTCCCTCCTCCACCCGCACACCTGATTTCCACAAACTCCCCTCACGTGTGGCCTGACATCACCCCTGCGATGCTCCCTTTTTGGCTCTTCCCCATGAGCAGACTGTAGACCTGAAGTAGGGGGTCAAGGAATAGGGGAGCCCCTCTGAGGTGGCAGAAGCGCAGGCCCCTGAGGCTGTAGTGGGTGTGATTCAGAGGCCCATTCCTGCAAATGGGAGCCCAGGAGCCACAGGCTGGGCCTGGGGTGCGGGGTGGGTATGCGGAGGCGGCTGGCGAGCCTGCCTCTCGGCTGTCTGTCTATCTATTTGTCCATCTTTCCCAACTTTTTTCCTTCTTCTCTCTCCTCTTCTCTCCATCTTGCACCCTGTTTTACCTGCTCCTTCTCATCCTCTTGCCTCCTCTGCCCTCCTTCCCTTCCCTCCCGCTCTGGGGGCCCACAGCGAGAACACCACGTGGGGATGGCCATGCCTAGCACATATGCGGTGTCACGGCATGGCTCCTCTCCCAGCACCGGGTAAGCCTCGGGCCCACCTCCCTGCCCCCCCACGCAGCCCGCCCTCACCCTGGCCCACTGGATGGCTGACCTGTCTGGAGGCTGGTCTCCCCTCTCCCCATCCTCCTTGGGTCCCTTCTGTCTGTCTGCTTTTCCACACTCAGAGGGGGCTCTTGGAAAGTAGGGTGGGTGGGTTGCCCGTGGCCAGCATTAGGGGTGGGATGGGGAGTTCAGCACGCCTGGTGCCTCTCCCTTCTTAGCATCTGCTCCACCCCACCGTAGGGCCTCCAGCCGCGTGCCAGCTGCATCCCAGAGCTCAGGCTGCTATGACAGTGACAGTCTGGAGTTGCCCCGGCCAGAAGAAGGGGCCCCGGAGGACAGTAACCCTGGGGGCATGGGCTCACGGGCCCCGGCTGCCAACAGTGGCTCAGAGCGGGCTCAGGCCCCTCGAAGCTCAGGCCTGCGGCGCCAGGCCATTCAGAACTGGCAGCGCAGACCCCGCCGGCACAGCACGGAGGGCGAGGAGGGTGACATTTCGGACGTGGGCTCCCGAACCACCGAGTCAGAGGCTGAGGGCCCCTCGGACGCCCCCCGCCCTGGGCCTGCTATGGCTGGGCCAGTAAGCAGCTGCCGGCTCTCAGGTGAGTCCTAGGGGGTGGGCAGAGAGGCCAGGCTTCCCCTGGTGCAGGCCCTCTCAGAAGACACAGGGCTGAGGCAGCACATCTCCTGGGCTCCTGCACCTCCTTTTCCCCAGCCCAGACTTCCCACGGTGAGAACGACACTCCCACCCGGCGCCCTGCCAGCCCGGGCAGGACCTCCTACGGCAGGGCGTGCTGCAGCACAGGGCACGCCGGTTGGGTTGTGCACAAGGATGCCACACCAAAAGGGCTCCATTTATGTGGTGGGCTCACTGACATTTACAGGAGAGTAGCTAGGTGTTGGCTCCGGACTCTGTGGCCCCTGAAGCAGTTGGAGGAGGGGTGCCTTCCCTCATAGAAACAAGGCCATGCACATACGCGGACGGGTGAGGGCCAGGAGGTGAGAGGGCTCCGGTCAGGGTGTGGGCTGCCCCTGTGACTGCTTTGGGCAGCCTCTCACCTGCCTCTGTTCCCAGAGGCCCCATTTCTGTCCATCCACACCCTAACCCTCCAAACCCTTCTCCAAACCTGATTCAGTTGCCTCATCTCGGGGGTGAGTTCAGACTATGCGATGACGTATTATCTTAAAAATAATTTACTTGAGGAAAGACTGCCTTTTCTAATTTGCAAAATTAGGGGCGGGGTGACGCAGAAGAGAGGAATGCAGAGGCCCTTGTCTTTTTCCCAAGGCACCGGTCCCCCAGCATCCGTCCCCCATGCCCAGGGCTCCTGCAGCTTTTACCCTACATTGCCATGCTGGCCTTTGACCCTCCATACTCACCTTTGACCCTTTGGTATTGTGCAGCCCGCTCTGAGGGAGGCAGTGGGCGGGGTCGGCGAGCAGAGAGGGGCAGCCCCTCACGTTCCAATGAGGTCATCAGCCCAGAGATCCTCAAGATGCGAGCCGCCCTGTTCTGCATCTTCACCTACTTGGACACCCGCACCCTCCTGCATGCCGCCGAGGTCTGCCGTGACTGGCGCTTTGTGGCCCGCCACCCTGCTGTCTGGACGCGAGTGCTGCTCGAGAATGCCCGAGTCTGTTCCAAGGTACCTGTTTCTGCCCACTCTCCCTGCCCTCCCACTCATCCCTGCTGTGAACTCACACACGCGCACGCGCACACACACACACACATGCACACACCCATCCCCCCTGCCTTCCAGCATCTGGTCCCTCCAGGGTTGGTCCTTGCAGTCCTTACAAGACCCCCCCAACTCTTGTCTGGTTTCCTAAAATGCTCTCATGGAGCTCCTATCCTGGAGCTGGCCCACCTCCAGCCAACCAAGTTCAGGCCCCTCACCCCGGTCACCCCTCTCTCCCTGCAGTTCTTGGCAATGCTGGCTCAGTGGTGCACCCAGGCCCACTCGCTGACGCTGCAGAACCTGAAGCCGCGGCAGCGGGGCAAGAAGGAAAGCAAGGAGGAGTATGCCCGGAGCACCCGGTGAGGCCGTGGTGGGTGGGTGTGTGCGTGGGTGGGGGGGGTGCTCCTGGGCCATAGACCTAGGATTCTGTGGGGATGCTTCTCAGAGCAGGAGAGGGCCACAAGCCTCTCCCTGACCTCTTGGCCATCCCCAGGGGCTGTCTGGAAGCGGGGCTGGAGTCCCTGCTGAAGGCGGCGGGGGGCAACCTGCTGATCCTGCGCATCTCCCACTGTCCCAACATCCTCACTGACCGCTCGCTCTGGCTGGCCAGCTGCTACTGCCGCGCTCTGCAGGCCGTCACCTACAGGTGGGTCCATCCCACCAGAAGCATCCCCAAGAGGGGTCCCTGTGCTCTGCTCTGCATACCCTTCTCCCAGGGCTCTCAGGCAGAGACCCAAGAGCTCTGTGGCCTCAGGGAAGGGAGCAGAGGCCACCAGGGAGAGTGGGTGGCCCCAGCTTTGTCTCTTCTCAACAGGAGCGCCACAGATCCCGTTGGCCATGAGGTCATTTGGGCCCTGGGCGCAGGCTGCAGAGAGATAGTCTCCCTCCAGGTGGCACCACTTCACCCCTGGTGAGCCCTGGCTGGGTGAGGAGGGGACAAGGTTGGGTGGGGTCTGCGGCTGAGGACTGAGCAGATCTAGGCCCACTCAATTGATCGTCTGTTGGGGAGACCAGATTCGCATTCATCAATCTGTGTGTTTAGGTGTTAGGAGCAAGGCTTAACATCATGTCCTGGTTACTAGAGTATGACTTTGGGCAACCCAATTGTGCTTCAGTTTCTCAACCTGCCAAGTAAAGGTGATATTAGGATCTGTTGACTTTATTAGGACTGTTGCTGGCTCAAATGAGATGTGTCCATGAAGCCTGCAGGGCCCACAGTGAGTGAGGCGTGAACACTAGGGAGGCTGGTTTGGCACCTGAAAGGCAGTTCAGGGTGGTCAGTGTGGTGGTTGGTGAGTCCAGGCTGTGGTGTCACTCATGGCGTTCCTAGGAGCTCCTCGAACATGTCAGGCTTTTCTGCTCCCTGCACCTTGACCTCCAAGCCCTCCCTTCACGTGACAACTCCTCCCAAGCCCTCCAGTGTCCCTGGGAGAATGTGTCACTGTTCTCCTGCCTTCATTCCGACTGCACCTTGTCCCTACCCTATAGCCCACTTTGCAACAGTTTCTCTATATTTCAGTCTCCACGAGACTCATGGTTCTCAGGGCAGAGGCTGAAATGTCCGTTCCACATCTGTGGTACCAAGGGTGTGGCAGATGTCTGTGGCCTGGGCGAGTGTTGAGGGATGCGTTGTTCAGGGAAACAGCCAGTTTGGTGTGAGTGGTAGGCAGGGCCCAGCAGTGAGTGTGTAAAGGCAGATCGGGGAAAGGTCAGGAAGGCCTTGCCTCAGGGGCTTAGATTTTTGCATTTTTTATCTAGAAAGTGCTGGGAAGCGATTGGGGATTTTAGATCTTAAAAAATGGGGTTACATCAGACAAGTAACATTCTTTGCGCCCCTCTTCACCCCACTGTCTGCTCCTTCAGGGCAGGGACCATGTCTGTACTGTCACCACTACATCCCCAGGGCCTAGCTCAGTTGTTCTTGGCTTAGTAGATACTTACAGCCACTTGTTGAATGACTGAGTGACGGAATGTAGGAATGACTGGCTTACCTTCAGCAGCAGGTCGTCTAGTCATAATCCAGGTGAACATTGATCATGGTCTGAACTGTAGGTTGAAGACTCATTCAGGAGTCGGAATCCATGGGTCTTGGCAGGAGATGAGGGACGGGGGAGTCAGGGATGATCCCAGGTTTCTAAGTTGAGCAGCTGGGGTGATTGGTGGGGCCCTTGCCCAAGGATGAGCCTGAAGGTGATCCCAAAGGAAGATGAGGCTTGGGGTGTCACATAACCAGCGGCTTTCCTGACAGCCCTTCCTTCCCCCCATTCTCCAGCCAGCAGCCCTTGCGCTTCAGTAATCGTTGCCTGCAGATGATCGGTCGCTGTTGGCCCCACCTCAGGGCCCTGGGGGTTGGGGGTGCCGGCTGTGGGGTGCAGGGCCTGGCATCACTCGGTAAGTTTTTCCTTGGGGCTAGGGTGGGGTTAGTGGGATGCAGGCATAGGTGCGATACTGAAATCTCAGAGGAGCTCTGGGCTGCAGCCTGGGTGATGGCAGGAGCATCGGGTGGGCGGGAGGTAACCTGGAGAGTTCGGTCAGCAGCAGCTCCCCTCTTCCTCTTCCTAGCAAGAAACTGCATGAGGCTGCAGGTCCTGGAGCTGGACCACGTGTCGGAGATCACCCAGGAGGTGGCGGCTGAGGTCTGCCGAGAAGGCCTGAAAGGGCTGGAGATGCTGGTGCTCACGGCCACCCCCGTCACCCCCAAAGCCCTGCTGCATTTCAACAGTGAGTGATGGGGCATGCGGGGTGGGGTACAAGTGTCACCTCTTACCATGCCTTGCCAGCAGGTAGCATGACCAGCTTCCCTGTCACTCCTGGTCAGCAAGCACAGTGCTGGGGTTAGACTGACCAGGGCTCTAGCCCTGGCTTTGCCACCAATGCCTTCTGAGGCCGGTGTGGCATTCAAGGCCTTCTAGCATGTGGCCCAAGTAGTTCAGTTCAGCTACATCTATTGCCCTGTGCTCTACCCACGTTGGAGACAGGAGCTATGCAGCAGCATTGGCCCCCATGTGAGCCCCCAGCCAAGGGCAGAGGCAGGAGAGCAGGTGGGTTAAGATCATAGGTTCTGGGGCTTGACTGACCTGGGTCTCAATGCTGACTCTACTGCTTATTAGCTGTGTGACTTCAGGCAGGTTACTATACATCTGAGTTCTGTACCTGTGGGAAACTGATACAGGGTTAAGCCTCGGACTGACTTGCTGGCAAAGTCACAAATAAGCCCTAGCTTAGAGGGCACAGTCCTCTTAGCATAATTAGGCTTGACCTTATAACACTCCCTAGATCTTATCTGGGAATCTGATGGGCTGGGGAAGTGCAGGGAGTATAACCATGGTGTAAACAAGTGAAACTTACAAGAACAGTGTAAACAAGTGAAACTCACAAGAACTGTGTAACTATGGTAACCACTACCTTGTTTACCTCTCACTATAAAAGCTTGGTGAGGCCTGAGCACAGCGGAAGTCCTTCCTCTTGACCCTCTTCTAAGCTGAATTTCTAGAATGAATGAGAGGATTAAATGAGATGGTGTGTGTGAACCTCCAAGGACAGTTCAGAGGGAAGACTCCTTTCCCGGTATAGATTGCAAGTCATGCCTCCTCTGGCCCCACTCCCTCCAGCTTCCCACTCCATCTCCGGTCATTCTTCCACCTTTTCGAGGACATGGGTGCCCAGCTTGGGCTGCCCACACCCAAAAGTGAGACCGTCACCCAAGACCATTTGACCCTCGGCAAGACCTCAGGTCCTGAGCACCAAAGGTTCTTTGACCTTATTATTCCCAGGATCCTCTTCTTCCCTCCCCTTCAGCTTCATGGCCTTGCCTTGGACTGACCACCAGAACTAACGGCTCAGCCTTCAAACTCATGACCTTCAGGACCCTCTCAGCCTCCTGACCTTCCTGCTCCTCCTCTCCTGACTTCATGACAACATTCGGTCCCTTAAGCTCCCAACTTGTTTGCTCCCTGTCTCCGCTCCTCTGTGCTCCAGCCGAGACCCATCAGCCTCACTTCCGCCTCTCTGTCTTTGTAATTCGCTTCCAAATGCCCAGGCCACAGCACAACTGTCCCTTCTGCCAGGGAAGTTCCAAAAGCTCCTGCACAGCTGTTGCCCACACATCCTCCCAGAGTCCACCACAGCCTCTGCTCTGACGTCACCTTCCACCTGCTCCCATTGTCTGGTTGAGCCCCGGGGCAGTGTGGGTCTGCTCTCCTGGTTATGATCTCAGTGCCTGGCATTTGATGGCCTCTCAGTAGGTTCTGATTTCATTAGTGATGGGAGAGGAGGCAGCCCGGCCAAACTCGGGCTCCTCTCTTACCCACCTTTTCCCAGGCATTTGCCGGAACCTCAAGTCCATTGTGGTCCAGATTGGGATTGCTGATTATTTCAAAGAGCCCAGCAGTCCCGAGGCCCAGAAGCTGTTTGAAGACATGGTGACAAAACTCCAGGTGAGGAATTGGCTCTGAGGCTACCCAACACCCCATGACCCTAGGCTGGGGCTGGGGATTTGGGTTTGTGATGTGAAGAAAGCCCCACCTGTGTGACCCTGAGGATTTGGCCCTGAGAACTAACCCAGGTTTGCTCTGCAGGCCCTGCGACGGAGGCCCGGCTTCTCTAAGATCCTGCACATCAAGGTGGAAGGCGGCTGCTAACCCGGGTGAGGGGCGGCAGGGCCCCTGCCAGCCCCACCCAGGGCACTCTCTTTGGACTTCCAGAGGGACCCTGATTTGGACTAGACCTTCAGAGGCCTGGTGTCATCTCTGGCTTCCAGGAAGGGGTTGACGGTTTCCTGTCCTCTCCTGGGATAGCAGAACAACAGGCCTGACCCTGGGAACTGTCTCTTCAGGGCAGGGGCTTGGACAGAAGCTGCCCCCTGCCCCTACCCAATCCCCAGCTGGAGCAGCCTTCTGGGCACAGCCAGTGAGGAGCTGTCACTACCAGCACCTGGTGTCTTCCCCCTGAGGGTCTGCAATAACCACCCAGTGGCCCTTGGCTGCTCTGGCAGGCCTTCATTCTTGAGGCCCAGCCTGCCGTCAGGTCCTCTGCTAGGCCCCAGGCAGGTCAGACTTGGTAAGGAGGGCTCTGCTCCTCGCCCTGCTCCGTCCCCGCCCTCTGTGGGGCACCCTTCAGACAGCCCACCGGGGACTGGGTCCACATTCTCTGAGGATAACACATGGGCCGAGGAGCCTGGGCAAGTGTCAGCCGAAGGTGAGGTAGCGGGAGTGGGCTTGGAAGGGCAAAACATTCACTCAGATTTTCTCCCCGGGACATTGAAACCATCTCTCCCAAAGGAGGAAATTGCCAGGAAGAGAAAAAAGTTTCTATTGATATAGGCAAGACCTCCCTCCCCCAATAACCACATTTCCCGTACACACAAGAGCTAAATTCTGAGCTAAAAGGTGCATGTTTCCATACCTGTCAGCAATCCTAACCCAGTCACCTGTGAGAAGCAGTTCCCGTCCTCAAGGAATGGCCTCCTTTTTTTTTTTTTTAAATATATATATTTTATTGATTTCAGATAGGGATGAGAGAGAGAAACATCAATGATGAAAGAGAATCATTGAATGGCTGCTGCCTGCACCCCCCCTACTGGGAGGTTGAGACTGCAACCCAGGCATGTGCCCTTGACCAGAATCGAACCCTGAACCCTTCAGTCTGCAGTCCGATGCTCTATCCATGGCATCAAACCGGCTAGAGCTGGAATGGCCTTCTAATCTAGGTGCTTGGGCAGGACTCTCATGGCCTTTGGATCCCCAAGGCTGTGTGGGAGGAAGTCAGTCACTGGCTGACCTCTGTATGGGGGCCTGGGGGAGGCTGGGAGGAGGCTGGTTTGGTTTGCTTCCTTGTCTGGCTTGCTTAAAGATGTAGCCCTTTAAGGAAGTTAGGCCCATCGAGCTAAGAATGAGCTGGTCCCATGGGCTAGGGCTCCGTTGGGAGTTTTCTGCCTGGGGGTAGTTCTGAGGCCCAAGCCAGAGCCACTTGGCTTAGAAGCCACAGAATGGATGCAAGTGGGGTTTTCACTCACCCTCCCACGGTCCCCACAGGACCAGGTCCCAGCACTGAGACTCAGGTCTCCCAGTTCCTCCTCAGAGCTCCCACAGTGGCTGAGGTGGGTCCTGCCAACCTTCATTTGGAAAGTTCTTTAATTCACCTAGATTCATCTTAGGGTTTCCTTCTCTCCTGCACAGGACTGGCTTTCAGCCCTAATCACTAGGCAGCTGGTGGCTGAGGCAGGGTTCCTCCAATTTCTCAGTTCTTTCCCGGGACCCAACTTTCTGCTACAACCTAGCTTGAACATCAAGGGCCAGCCCTGGGTTACCCTAACAGTGAGGCCCCCAGAGCTGGGCCCCACAGACTCAGCGGTGCACCCCGCTTCCCTGGCTCCACGCCCAGTTCTCCCGGCTCTTCCCATTGTTGATGACTTTTCCTCCCATGGCTCATTCTGGCCCTGCCCTTTGAAGATCCCCAAATACCAAGGGTGTCATGTTGGCAACTCCCTGTCCTGTCCTGCACGAAGCCGTGGCGGTGTGGTATCTCCACTCCAGAGCAGCTGGCTTTATTGACTCCTCCTCAGCCCTGCCCCCAGGAATCATGGGAAGAAGCACAACTCTGCTGGCCTAGAGGGAGGCGGAGGTCTACTCAGACCTGGCTGCTCTGGGTGCGTCAGTCCTGCCTTCCAACTGCACCCTCCAAAGCCCTGCTCCACATGACCCCGGGATCAGAGGTGCTGCCCTCCCTGTCTCCTGGACAAAGCACAAAGGGGTGCCCTGCTTGGCCAGAGCCTGCCCTACCGGGACCTTTACAGGCTCTGGGCAGTTTCTCCCTGGGTGGGTGCCCACTGGGATGCCCGGCATCAGCCCTGGGAAAGGAAGTCAGAGCCCGGGCAGTGAGCTGAAGTGGGAGAAAGGACTGATGTCAGTAGCAGGTTTATTCACTCATTTGTTCATTTGTGTGACAGCCCTGCACACCACCAGCACTGCAGGCAGCGGAGTGAACAAGACTCCCTCTCCTGCTGGGGGGAAGTTTGCCTCTCACAGGTTTGGCTGTTTCCAGAAAACCCTCCAAGTCCAGCCAAGCGAAGGATGTGTGGGAGTACATATTGTACATGCCCAGGCCCCTGTCAACAGGAACATGGGTTGTAGTATGTCCCATTGCACACCTGCCCCCAGGGCCAATAGACTTGCGTGGCTGAGAACTGGCAGATTTGCAGGCCTCCACCCACACCAGCTCGATGCTATTTTTTGCTTCTCTTCAGGGGGGTGAGCCCTGCTGCTAAGCGGGGAGCTTTTGTTGGTGGGAATGCTCCATTTGTTCTTTGGCAACCCTATAGCTAGGGCTGATGACGGGGAACGGATGGAGGGCCCAGCCACCCTTCACTCGCCCCTATCTCACACCTGACAAGATGCAAAGAGGAGGCTCAAAGAGCAAACCAAGGCAAGTCCTGCTCCAGGGGCCCAGGCCTGGATAGGGGGCCCATGGGTGGGGCCACTTGGTATCCCAACCACCGTCCTGTCATACAGCCTGAACCCAGCACCTGGGGACTCCGAGTACTTGGATTGAGCGTTTGGTCATGCTTTATTTGGGCTGCCGCCTCTGCACTGGCAGGGAACAAAGGAGATGCTGTAGATGTCTGCATCCCAGAGGGGGAGGAGCAGGCTGCCCAGACCATGGCTTTAACTGCCAGGAGAGACCACTGTAGGACCAAGGCAGCTCAGGTATTCCTAGTCCAGTGAATGGAGTTTGAGCCAGCCCCTCAGGAATTGCTTTAAAAAAAGCTGCCTCCTTCCTAAGGTCTGTGGCTCCAAGGTTTGGCTCCGTCCTTTGTCTTTGGGTCCTGCCTCTAGTCCTTTGGGCCGTAAGTGGGAGCTGCCCAATCCTAGTCCTTCTAAGGCGCTAAGTGGAAGATCTTAACAGAGTGACTATCGGTGCCAAAGACCCAGTTCCTGCTGGACTTGGGGTGATAACAGGAGATATGGTGTGTGGGTGCAGGGCCCTTGTGCTCAGAGGACTCAAACTGATGGGATCTGTCCCAGCACGTCACCCCTGGTGAGTGTTACCTCTCCCCAAGGGGCCTGGCACATCTCTCTAGCCCTGCTGGCCATGCTTGTTCACCCAGCCTTGTCCCAGGCCTGCATTTCTGTATATATTGCTGTGTATTGTGTATATGTATTTATTCCTGGACAAGTGTGGTGTTCTGCAGCCCTTGCCTGAGAGTAAGGTGTAGGATTGGGTGGAGATCAGAAATCAGAATACCAGGGCCAACTAAGGCAGCCAGCTCCTATTCCCTCCCCAACCCCTGGGAACCGGGCCAGTCCCAAGACCGCCCTGACAATCAGGCAGGCTTCCCCACTGAGGCCCGGCCTCACCTGCCACCACTGGCATGGCCCCAGGGAGGCTGGGCCTTGGCCTCCAGCCTCAGCTCTGCCCTGGCAGGGGTCTTGCACTCAACTCAGAGGCCTGAGGTGACCCAGGCTTGCCTCCTGGCTGGCATGAGTAGGCTTGGCTCTAGTGGGCACTGCTGGTGGAGACTTCCACAACTGACCCCAGGCCCTGCCTTCCCTGCACAGCCAGGCTGCAATGGGCCTGAGTCGTGAGAGGGTGACTTCCCCCACCCCAAGCACATCAGGCAGAGGAGTGGAGAGCATTTTTCGATTTTGTTTCTTAAGTGGTGCCTGTACCTCCAGTCCCCAGGGGCCTTCAGTGGCCCCACTTCTCTGCCACACCAGGCATCACCATCCCAGCACTTTGCTCCATGTCACCCATAGATGCCCTTTGCTGAATGTACCTGAGTGTATGTATTTAAGAGGACTCACACAGGCATCAGAAAATTTATGGCTTTGTATCCAATAAAAGATGGTGAAACCGGAATATCTGCCTCAGGGCAATAAATGGTAGGTGGCCATATTTGTCGGTCTGTGTCACCAAGCCTTTCTGCAGCTGAAGTGCACTGAAGCAGGAAAGAGGAGGGTGGCCAGAGCAGCCTCAACGGGGTGAATGAAGCATCAGAAGACCCGTCTCTGGACGCAGACGTCACTGGAGCGGGCCATGCAGGTGACTGCCCTGCCACAGCTCACTCCCTCTCGCTGTCTGTGTGTGGACAGCAAGCCGTGGTGCTGTTTCTGCCTCAGCCAGGAGAGACCACCTTTAAGGACGCCTCCAGCACAAGCGCAGCAGGAGCAGCAGGCACTGCCCGGTCCCTCACTGGCCTGGCCACATCCCCAGGAGGCTGATCAGCCAGTCAGGCTTCAGCCCGAGGGAGACACCAAACTGCCCAACATGGTCTGGCTTCAACTTCCCTATTTTTCCTAATGGGGTTGCCCCACCAATTTGATTACTCAGGTATGAAATATTAAAAACCAGAAAAACCAACAGGTGTTTATACTTTAAACTGTGTGGCTCTAGCATCAAATAAGTAGATGAGCACTTATCCCCCTGTTCCTATCTTCATTATACATTTAGAGCAGCTGAGACTCAGAAAAATTAGTTTACACTAAGACTATCAAGTTAGGATGTGGGATTCCAAAGTCTGGATCTGCCCATACCCCATTTCACCTTTGCGTCCATCTAATTGGGAGTGGTTGGGCTCAGGAATTTAAAAACAAAACAAAAAACAAACAAAAATCACGCCTGGCTGGTGTGTCTCTGTGGTTGAACGTCAACCCATGAACCAGGAGGTTAGAGTTCGATTCCCAGCCAGGGCACATGCCTGGGTTGCAGGCTTGATGTCCAGTAGGGAGGTATAGGAGGCAGCCGATCAATGAATCTCACTCATCATTGAGGTTTTTTTCTCTCCTCCCTTCCTCTCTCTGAAATTATATACATATACATATATATATATACGTGTGTGTGTGTGTATGTGTATGTATGTGTGTGTGTGTATATGTATATATATATATATAAAAGGCGACTTTGGTGAGACAAGCAGCAAAAGCTTCAGTGGTTCAATATGACTTCCACAAGGACCAATGACAGCTAGCTGCAGGCCAGACCTCAGGACTAGCACAGACAAGAGGCAGGTAGATTCTGCTTTCCATAGATCTGTGCTGGCCAATTCAAACTTGTCCTGTTCAGAAGGGAGCTTAATGAGACCAGGTGGGTGCTCCTTCAGCCACCCCCTCAATGGACGGCTAAGGAGTCACTACAGTTGAAAAAGGATTCGGCCTAAGACATTCCTCCAAGGCCCTCACCCTCAGGATGTTTACTGAGGGACCAAAAGACGGAACCAAAAGAATACGGAGGTAGAGGGGCAGACAAGGTCTGTAACACGTTTACTCAAACCCAGAAAATCCTGGGAGCAGTGCCTGGCGAGGCCAGGGCGAGGTAAGATAAAACTGGGAGAAAAGGAAGCGACTCCACATCTCCCAGCCACTTGTGGGACTGAGAAAGATACCAAAGTGAACCTTCAGGGCCTGGGCCACTCAGGGGGAGCGCCCTGCTGCACACTCTGCCTTAACAGGACCAGAGGCTACTGAAGACAGCCCAAAGGAGGGAAGAGAATTTTTCTACCTTTTGGGTGACTGCATACAAAGCTAAAATCCAGAGCTGCAGTCAACACATTTACAAGTAAAACTCCTGTCCCCAAATAATTTGCAAAGTGAATTCGAAGTTTATTTAAATAGCCGCCAGTTAGAACAGGGTGGGCCAATCCCTCCCGACCCCTTTCTCATACCATTTAGCCAAGACAAGACAGGGAGAGTAAGGTGTAGGTAAGCTTGCCCGGCAGCCAACCTGCCAGCCAGTTAGGTGACGGGTGGGATGCCACTCAATGGATGCGGCCACGACCTCGGCCCCGGCCAACAGCTGGGGGCGCGTCCACGGTCGAGCGAGGGTTCTTGATGGTTTCATCTACAGACACGATAAGGCATGCAGCCTCCGAGGCTGCAGTCAGGGCGTTGATCCGCACCATCGCTGGCTCCCACACGAAGGCCTCGAAGTTGTCAGCAATGTCCTCGTTGTTGATGTCTACCCCGTACCACACGCCCCCCTGAAAGATGGGAAAAAGGGAGGTACATGGAACTGCTATGAAATTTCTTCTGGCTTCCCCTCCCTCCAAAAGTTAGGAACCCTGACTCTGAACTTGCTGGCACTTCCCTGAGGAAGGCATCGGCCTGTGGCATCACAACAGGAACCTGGAAGTCCGCCTTTTCCCCGCCCCTGCCCCTGCCCACCAACCACGCAAACCTTGGACGTGCTGACCACACAAGAGCTCTGGCCACCTCCTAGGTATTTCCCTGTTTTGGGGAGGCCCCACCTCAGGTCACCTGAGGATGCATGGTTCTCAAGAGGAACTCTTTCAATCCCTGGTCTCACTGTATCATTGCACTGTTTCCATCAGTCCCCATTGGATGAGGAACTGAGACACAGAGGTAAAGCGTCAAGTCAGACACAAGGTTGCTCACTGAGTATTGCTGCTGTCAGAGTGCCGAGCACTTAGAAATATTTGCTAAATAACAAATGAAGAAACGAAGTTCTCGGAGAGGTGGCAGAGCCATGGCTGGGCTGAGTGTCAGCAGGGCTCTGAGTGCTTCCGGCAGGGGCCACAGGGCTCCTCTCTTCGCACCATGAGGAGTGATCACTCCTGGTAGAAGCACTAAGACACCTGGGACCTCCAGTCCCGGCACTGTGGCTTCGCCTCTGCCCTCAGAGGAAGCACAGTTGGTACTGAGTTTAGCTTTCGCGCTGTCACCTGGGCTGAACACACAGTTTGAATGGTGAAGGCCCACAGAGAACCTAGCCCATCCCTCCAAATGCCTGGACCCCAAGGAGAGGAGCACCCACCTGGGCATGCCGGGCCCGCAGCTTGTTGAGGATGTTTGTGGCATCGAAGCCAGCGTTGTCACACAGCTGGCGTGGGATGATTTCCAAGGCCTTGGCGTAGGCTCCAATCAGCAGCTGCTGCTTTCCAGGAATGGTCCTGGAGTAGTCCCGCAGGTACTTGGAGAGCTCCATTTCAATGGCCCCACCACCAGCCACCACTGAATCATTCTGTAGAGACCAGACCCATCTCTCAACACCAGTGGTTCCCCCTGGTCCAAGCTCCAGCCACAGGAAAGTTGGGCCCCCAGCCCAGTGAGTGGTCCCTCATTATTTCCCTCCTCCCAAGCCTCAGGAAGCCCAAACACGGCCCTTGTCTAGCACATCCCCACATCCACCAGGGAACCTTATGGTTTCTGACCATCTTCAAGGTCGCCTGCAGCTTGAGGACACTGGCACAGTCCCGGGAATGGCTGACTGCCTCAGCCCCTCAGTCTGCTCACAAGAACAAGTCTTAGCCTCTAGGGCAGCAGGACCTCTTTTGAGAGACCGAGGCTATTTCTCTATGATTTGTGAGGCAAGTCAGGGCCCGAGTTCCACCCAGGCACGGGGTCACCACACAAATGCAGGGTCTCACTGGCTTGGGAGGGAGAATGGGATGTGCAGGCAGGAAGCCACCAGCCCAGTACCTTGATGGCCCTCCTAACAATCATGATGGCGTCGTGCAGGGATCGCTCTGTCTCCTCCATAAACTGCTCAGCGCCACCGCGGAGGATGATGGTGCAAGTCTTAGCTTTGGGGCAGCCGGTGAAGATATTGTACCTACATCCAGGGTCAAATCGTACACACACGTGAGCGCCTGTCTGCTGCCAGCCGCTGTGTTCTGACCTCACCAAACCCTCCCAACACTCAGCAGCTGCACTTCTGTTTCTCACTAAGGCTCCCCAATCCCACCTTTAAAAGACACCTTCTTAGGAAGGTCTGGGCTATCCCAATGGGACATAAAAGATTATGGACCCAACGTAGTCTTCCCTCCCCAAACACTCTGCATGTGGGCTCTTTGTGCCCCAAAAGGTAAGACTCCACAAGAGTAGCACATGCTGCTTCCCACACCCAAAGGGCGGCAGCAGGCCAGACTCAGGCAGGTCTCGCGGCTCTGCCAAGACGCTCACCTCTCGCCTCCAATCTGAGTTTCTTCAAAGACCTGGCAGTGGCCCAACACATCTGCTGTCAGAGCATTTACGCTGGTCTGGATGGAGCCTCCACAGGCCTGAGGAGCACAAGAAGGCAAGATCATCCAGCAGCGAAGGCTCACACCAGGCCAACAAACTTCCTGCCACCCAGTCTCAAAGCCAGTTCCCATGCTGGACTCTGCCACGGTGCCCACAGCCCTGTGCACTGGATAACCCACCTCACCCTTGACCTCGATGACCCTCATCCCTCTGAAAGAAGAAAACAAAACAGAACTAAGGGCAAACAGGCCTAGTTAAAAGGAGACGGGGACCCTTTGGCTCACTTGAGAGCCCTCCCCAAACTAAGATGCTTTGGGCCCAGCAGTGAAGTGAGGACCGGTGCTGACTTAAGGCGACTTTGGTGAGACACTGGAGAAGGAAGGAGATCTGGCTGGAAGCATCAATACTTGAGTGTATTCAGCTAATCACAGCATTAGTGCTGGGTTCCCTGACTTGTTTTGGTGAGGTAACTTTTATATCTGAGCACATGCACACTGGCAATGAAGTGCTCCAAGGTAAAGAGTTAGGAAGACAGGCCTGGATTGACACACCAACCTAACTGTGCACCCCGGCCCACCAGAGGTAAGTGAAAATGCCCCCAGGCCATGAAGCAGCCGGTGAACAGTGCGTTACCATCATCGTCCTCTTCAGATCCTCCTCTGGCACGCGGCCAGCACAGAACATGTCCCTGTCGGCGAAGTACTGGGTGGCCACATCCCCAATAGGGAGTTTGGACAAGACGACTTTGGCTCCGGAAGAATGGATCTTCTCTAACTTGTCATACAGAATGTTCCACTCAGCATCGACAATTGCCTGATAATCCTGAAGAGACCCAGAAAAGGATGAGGATGCTTTGGAGTGGAGGTCAGCATATAAAGTGGGCTAAAATGTATCTCCCATGATAAAAGTGTGCTATTTGGGAATTAACAGGGATAGACAGAATAGCTCTTCACAGACCAAGTAAACAAGGACCCTGTAAGGTAACTTAGGGAACCTTGAACTTTCAAACACAAGAGCAGGAAGTAACCCCAGGACCAGAAGCTACTCCAGAGCTGGCAATGCCAAGGGGTGAGGAAGAGTTCAGTGCCTCTGAGGCACTCACCCATGGAGTTCCCAAGGATGAGACCCTTCCCCCAAAGGCCGTTCTGTGTTGGGGACACATTCCCCAGAGTACCTGCTGATAGTGGGTAACAACGCTACTCCAGAGACAGCCTTGGTTATAGCAATGATGGGAGCACACCTGTCCCTGCAGCGTGGGACCCAGTCTAAAAGGGGAGGAGCCCACATCAGCCCAAACCCAGGGAATCAAAACACTAGGCTCACTGTATAGTTAGAGAGCCCTGCCAGCCCCTTCTCGGGGCCAGGGGATAATATTTCAACAGGTCTGTCATCTCCCAATCTCCTCCAGCCCAGGTCACTAGGAGAGTACAGGCCCCGCATTTAGATATCCATGTTTAGGGTGACAGGAGGATAAAGGGATCCACAGAAGCTTGGAAAACAGACAACCACAAGAGCCGAGGCTTTGGCCCAGACAGTTGCCCATTTCCGCTCCACTGCCAGTTGGGGGGGCCTACCTTAACGGTGTGGACTCTGACTTCAGCATTATCTTTCTCAGCTTTCAGTTCGAGCTCCACATTTAAAAGGGCAATCTTTGGGTTGTGGTACTTTTTGGGTTGCATTTCAAACCCAGCATAAGAGAAAGTCTTCTTGAATGCAACACCAGCTACCAGCTGGGACTCCTATTCAAAAAAATAAACAGTTCAAAAGTTCAGTAATGGCATGAAATGAAAGCAAGCTGGTGGTGTGTTGGACCACGCATGTCCATTCCTGTGAATCCGAGTTAACCATGTCTTTATTTCACTGTTGTAACAAAACCTCTCCATTTGTCCCTTCAGTATAAGGAAAATAAGAAGCTAAGCATGGTAAGGGCGTGTTCAGGCTGTCTTCTAAGACTGGCCTTCAAAGAAGTGCCAAGGGATAGTGCTTAAAGCATTTACCTACATGCCAGGAAAGGAGCCAGCCATTTATAAATAAGGTATAGGCTGCCCAATGCCTTCTTCCCATTCAATCCCAACTACCAACCCCCTGGTCATCTCCTACTGCACACACCTACACACACCCCTCCCTACCTAAACCACACACACACACACACACACACACACACGCACACTCACATACACATTCATTCATCTGCTACAGCCTAGATGCGTTCTCTGCCCAGGAGATGAAGTCAAAAGATCATAAGGGTAGGAAATTTCCTGCACAGTTCCCAGGCCATCACTGTAGCTTCCCACATCTCAATCCCTCAAAACATGAACTTCTACCTCTTTTCAATAACAGAGCTTCCTATGGGTTGAAGTTAGTGTCAGGGCATAAGAAGAAGCATGTTGCACCTGGGACTGACTTCAGCACTATAAGGAGGCTTAGATTCACATCTCACATCTCCCTCTTTTTACTACTAAATGACCAAGTCTGTGCTAACCTACAGTCTTGACCTACAATACTGTAGCCTATCAGTGAACAGACTCCCATGTCATTCAAACCCACAGCCTCCTAAAGAGGATGAGACTTCAGCTGAATCAAGAAGACAGCAGAAATGAGTCAAATGGGAGACAAGCAATCGGTGTCTCTTTCACGTCAATGTTTCTCCCTCACTTTCTCTCTCCCTCATCCCTTCCTTCCACTCTCTAAAAATCAACGGAAAAAATATCCGCAGGTGAGGATAAAAAAAAAGAAAAGAAAAGAAAGCAGTATTTACACGTTTATAGAAGCACAGATTATTCTGGCAGGACACATACTTAATAGTGGTAGAATCCAGGGCAGGAATGGTATAGGGAATGTTTATTTTTTCCTCAGGCCCTTTAATACAGTTTGAACTATGTATCATCTATTCAAAATGGATGAAAAAAAGGAGGAAGAGCATGGCTCTATCACTTAGAGAAGAATGAACTGTTCTGCTCAGATTCATTCATTGAGAGGGTCAGAGATAGCCCTCCTCCCTCCCCCACATCAACACTGAGATTCGGAAACGCAGTCAGTTCAATCCACATTCTTCTGCTGACAAGTAAATATAGGTCCATAGAGGTTACAGAGTATATCTAGTCACAGCCTGCCGTGGCAGTGTGGAGAATACAGCCCAAACCTGCCTGTCATGTGCGCTCTCCTCCGATATGAAACTGTCCGAAGGGTCCATGTGAAAGCAGGAGCCTCCTGGGGAGGCCATAGCAGGCTTACCTCTAGGGCTCCACCTTGCACCTTCTTGATGCCAATCATTTTAAGCTGCAGCAAATCATCGAGCATCATTACTGCATCCACCACCATCTTCGCGAAGAAGGCTTTCTGCTGGGAGATCAGCTTGGAGCTCAGAGCAGTCACGGCACACTTCTCCAGCAGCCTCCTCTGCTCCCTGGGACGTAAGGGTGGGACCTGCATCAGGCCTTGAGAGCCTCTCTTGTCTGATTCTACTGCAATGTGGGGGTGGTTGCCACTAAAATCAGCCCTCACCAACCTCTTCTGTATCTTTAGGGCATATTATCAGTGACAAATGGTGACTGTAGTCAAAGACCACATGTGGACAGCTTTTAAACTATAGTCTACCAGCCTCTTTCGAGCAATGTGGGCTGGGGCACAGCCAGGGTCTAGCAAGAACCAAATAGCCCCGGGGCCCACATAGGGATCACAACCTGCTTCTGCATCCCATTTGGCCATAGAGAGTCAAGTCCCACCACAAACTTACACTTTATTTTCCTTCTTCACGGTCACGGCAATCTCTCTGATCTTGTTAACTGCCTGCCAAGAACAGAAGCTGAGTGAGCCTCTCATGCTACAAACTGGAGAAGAGGACGCCAACCTCTCTTGCTAGTCCCTAATCTGTTTACTCCCAAATCTTAAGCATTTCTACACTACAGTTGAAACAACGTTTTTATGTTGCAGTTGCCCAGGAAATATAAATCTTTATAGTTTAGAAAACTCCCACAGCCTGAAATGTAGAATAGCTATAGTGCTGAAGAATCGTAAGAATATGCCCAGGATTCGGCTCTGGATATGTGGGTAACACACTAAAACAATGAGTGAAAACAAGCTATGACACTAGATCAAGCCAAACCTTCTGGCTCATGAAAAACATCTACAAAATTTTTAGCACTTTATATATTAATTAGATGTTCATAACATAATATATACATATATCTCAAGATGTGCCATGAAGTACTAGACAAAAACAAAAATAGCTCTCTCTTACCGGAGCCTACAACATATCTACATCACACTCTATCAAATATCTAATCAAATAGCTACTGAATGGTAGGACTGAGGTTCCTAGGGAGAATACAGAAAATGTCCAAGGAACTTTTCCCAGTCTTCTCTACCCCCCAGTACAGGTATTATCCTAAGAGAAATATGAAGGTGCCCAGGCATAAGGCCAAGTTAGCCGCTACTCCCATACCAACTGGGTGGCAGTTCGGAAAGCTCGGATGATGATCTGCGGGTGCAAGCCTTCCTCCACATAGGGTTTCACCTGCTTCAGAAACTCTGCAGCCAGCAGGGTCACTGAGGTGGTGCCATCACCGACCTGGAAGAGGATGACAGGAAATTCATGTTTTCTCACGTTCAGGGATAAAGCCCCAACTCCATTTTCAGGCAATCTACCCACTTCAACTGGGCACTGTTTAAATGAGTGTGGAGCTTTAATTTGGAAACACAGGTGTTTGCAATAAAAAGAAGGTGATGGTAGTTAGGTGTCAATCCCATCAAATGGTCAGTAGCTACAAAATTAATTCCCCAGCCAGGCCCATTCCCCAAAGAAGATTAATTTGGACAATTAAGTTTCCTTGGAATAGGAAATAATATATGCAAATTATCTGGTTACTTATTTATTACATACGAGGCACTATAATAAGTAAGACAATCTAGTCATGCTTCTAGTAACAATGCTTGTATGTCACAAATAACCATGGTAGCAATTGGCATGACATATATATTCTTTAAGGAGTAAAAGTACTACAGGAGTTTACAAAAAAGATTATTTTCCAGCCAAAGCCCACTAAAACAGCGGTTCTCAACCTGGGGGTCACGACCCCTTTTGGGGGAGGGGGGTCAAACAACTCTTTCACAAGGGTCGCCTAAGACCATCGGAAAACACATATATAATTACATATTGTTTTTGTGATTAATCACTATGCTTTAATTATGTTCAATTTGTAACAATGAAATTGGGGGTCACCACAACATGAGGAACTGTATTAAAGGGTCGCAGCATTAGGAAGGTTGAGAACCACTGCACTAAAACAAACCTCCCAGGACCAGCCAAAACCCTTTATTTATTTATTTATTTTTTTGGTATCGCAAAGGTGGACATTTATTAAAGAACAAGTACAGACTCCACACAGGGAGGGGGAAGAGTCCCACAGAAAGGACTCCCACGTGGGGAGAGGGAAAGGGTCCCCCCACAACTCTTTATATGTTAAACACTATTTGGAATAAGCAGACTACTAGTCTGCTAGTCTTTCCTACATGACATTTTCTATGATGACATCTAAACCCTATTTTTATTTATTTATTTATTTTTAAATATATTTTATTGATTTTTTACAGAGAGGAAGAGAGAGATAGAAAGTTAGAAACATCGATGAGAGAGAAACATCGATCAGCTGCCTCCTGCACATCCCCCACTGGGGAAATGCCCGCAACCCAGGTACATGCCCTTGACCGGGATCGAACCCGGGACCTCCTAGTCCGCAGGCTGATGCTCTATCCACTGAGCCAAACCGGTTTTGGCTAAACCCTATTTTTAATGAGGGAGAATAAGAGCTCACAAGAAAACTGGCCAACCTCTGATTTAGAAAAATTTTATGTGCAACTTGTTTGTATCTATTGTGTAATGTATCGACAAGTCAAGGAGAGAGGCCTCAGGAGAAACCAACCCAGTTCACACTTTGACCTTGGCTGCCAAATTCTTGGCCAGAAGATATTATTCACTGGCTGAAGACATTAACAGCTCAAATTCAGATCTTCTCACTTTAATTTTTAAAAAGCCGTATTTTATAGGCTACTGGAACCTAATAAACCTTTTCACATAACTTCAGAACATAATACAAACCTGTCTTTCAACATTTATTATCAAGACTCCAGTATTAGAAATGGTCTGTTAAAATGATGAATTTTGTTATGTATATTTTATTCCCATAAAAAAAAGGGGAAGGGGGAACACCAGAAACCTTAGAGTTTCCAGTCCTATCTTATAAGGTTAAATAATTTACCTAGCAACCTCATATGAATGACAGCACAGGTCCCAAGATCTCAGGTACAAGCAGTGGAACAGTACAAATTTTAAAAGATTATTAACTCCTAGATATTTTTACAAGAATGTATTACTTTTGAAATTATAATTTTAGATATAAATTAAAAAACATTTAGAGAGAGGAAAGTGAAGGAGCAAGCAGACATGTGTTTCCACCTCCATTTAAACTTATCTGCTTGATTTTCTTACCTCAGCATCTTGGGATTTGGCAATGTCCACTAAAGTCTTTGCTGCAGGATGGACAACATCAAGGAGTTTCAGAATTGTGGCCCCATCATTAGAAATTGTGGCTTTTCCTTCAAAGGAACACACAAAGTGAAAATTCAAAGACCCTTTCTTAAAAGGTCTAGTTGGACCTTTTTTAAGCCCATGCACCCTTTATGAGGATGGGGCAGAGGGCACCATGGTGCAAATAAGCTCATCTTTTTATAGAGAGTTCTGTGCACAAAAGGCCACCTAAAGTCACTACTAGTCTGCTAAACTTTCCTACATGGCAATTTTCCAAAGACTCTGAGCACCTACTTTTCTTTGAGCAGCATTTGGCACACCTCAAATGGATGTACAAAATATTTTTTAAATGACAATGAGTAATCATTTAGATATTCTTAACCAAGTTAATACCCTGGTATCTCACATGTCAATTAATACACTAAAACATAAAAGGGAACTTGCCCTTTGTCTTGGCACCATGATACAATGGGAGGGATCACATGTTTCTAGGCTGTACCTCTCTACAAGGCAACAGTCTTCTGAGCACAGCTTCTCCCATATATCCCCACAGGGCTCAGCATTCAGGACTATGTATGAAGTGGAGCCACTTCGTAGTGAGCAATCCCTCAGAGATCTGAAGCAGTAAGTTTTCTGGTGCCAACCTCTGCGAGCCCCAGCACTCCCCAGGAAGGGAGAGGGATTGCGAGTTAGAACCATCCATCAGCTGCCTCCTGCACACTCCCTACTGGGGATGTGCCTGCAACCAAGGCACATGCCCTTGACCGGAATCGAACCCGGGACCCTTCAGTCCGAAGGCTGACACTCTATCCACTGAGCCAAACCGGGTAGGGCCATTTAGATATTCTTAACCAAGTTAATACCCTGGTATCTCACATGTCAATTAATACACTAAAACATAAAAGGGAACTTGCCCTTTGTCTTGGCACCATGATACAATGGGAGGGATCACATGTTTCTAGGCTGTACCTCTCTACAAGGCAACAGTCTTCTGAGCCCAGCTTCTCCCATATATCCCCACAGGGCTCAGCATTCAGGACTATGTATGAAGTGGAGCCACTTCGTAGTGAGCAATCCCTCAGAGATCTGAAGCAGTAAGTTTTCTGGTGCCAACCTCTGCGAGCCCCAGCACTCCCCAGAAGCCTTGTCCTGCACACGGCCTTGAGGAGCCTGCAGACCTACCTCGGCCATCCACAAGGAGCTTGTCCATGCCACGGGGGCCCAGGGTGGTTCTTATGGCTTCAGCAATCACCTGGCAGGCACTGATGTTACTTACAAGCTGGGGGATGCCTTGGGAGCTATCAGTCCCCTCTTTCAACAGGATAACTGGTGTGGGCTAGAAAAGAAAGAGCAATTGACTGCTTTTAAAAATCATCTGTTACAATGAGTCATAAGGAGAGAAGGGCGAGGGAAAATGCTCCCATCTCCCCCATGACTGAAATATCTTTGAAAATCACTTCCCCCCACGGTCCACGACATCTACCCCCTAAACAGCCTCTATCTCCAGAGACATGGCCAAGACCACAGCACACCTGGTAGGTGTGCTGGAAAATGGTTTGAGAAGAACAGATTTTGTTTAAATCAAATAGAGATGTGTTCTCCAGTGCCCAGCTAAATGAGCATAGCCTTTTCAACTTCTGACCCCATTCTGTTGTGAAGAATTAGGGCATGGCACAGGAGGAAGCAGCAGGCCATGCTCTGCATTCACCCTCCAGCGAAACATCCACTTATCTGCATTACAGCTTAATCCTAGAGAGGTAGATGGGGCACTGATGCAAAACTGAGGTGTCAATAGCTTCAGGAGTTGTCCTGCAGATGCCCAGGCAGGAGGCTTTACCAATGTTTAGCTGGAGTGTAGGAAAGCAGTCAGGCAGAGAAGCAAATAGCACCTTTGTCTGCCTCACGAAGTGACAACAAATCTAATTTACACAGCAACGTCTCCATTTCTCATGCTGGCTCCATAGAGCTTCCTGTGACTCATCTCCAATCAGATACCCCAAAGAAGTTTCTCTCTTTCTATTTTGCAATGGCCTCCAAAACAGTCACTATCTCTAGAGGTTTAATTTGCAGACCTGCTTTAGAAACTCTGGCAGTCAGGGATACTTATTTTAAAGGGCTTGCTTAAATACCTCTGCGCCATTGATCATTAGCACAGACAGTAATCTCTCAGCTTAGCAAACCGGAGTGCCCTGTCCCTGCATCCAAGCTTGACATGTAACGCTGAGTTCATGAACCAGACCCAGTCTTCCCAGTGACTGTGACTAATTATGTGTTTGTAGGAAACAATATATTAAGGGAAATACTGTTGAAAATCTTCGTTATATGCGTGCTATTAGGCTATGCTTTAAACTTTAGTTATGGAGCACAATATAAAGTTTGAAAGCTTTTGCCCACGTCCACCCCTAGGGGTACTTCCACCCCTGAGGGGGCAGGCACAGGCAAGTAAGGACTGTCTCACCCTAACAATAAGGAGTCAAGAATTCACACACCACAAAGGCTAGTGACCCATGAGGATTCCACCACCATATTAACAGGACAACTGCTCAAGAAGTTCCACTCCTTTGACCAGTGCAGCTGGAGAGTAGTGAATGAGGCTGACAAGGCAGGAGGAATCAGACCACATACTCACTTGTAGACTGTGTTAAGGAGCTTAAATCTTGCTCCTAAAAGGGGAGCCTTGGGAAGACTTGCAGCAGAGGACTGGCAAAACCTGATTTACATTTTTTTAAAAAAATCACTAGGAAATAGTTAAGAAGAGGCAAGATATAAAATGTAAATGCATAAAGGCGCCAGAAAGATGCCCAACAAACTCTAAAGAGAAAGAGAGTGTTAGTAAAGAGGGTTTTGACACTGAGTTATATATTTGCTGTTCTGTTTCTTTTCTCTGATGAGCTTATCACACATTATTATTATTATTACTTTTTTAAAGAATGCTTATTAGATAACCCCCTAGATCTGGGACCAGGCATAGGGTGGAGGGAAAATTCCTTCCTTTTCATGGTAGTGTCCCAAGTCTCACCTCAAGAAATGGTTTCTCTATACTCAGCATTCTTTTGGGCCCTTGCACCTTCTGTAAGGAAAGAAGTATCTCCTGAAAACCCCACCTTCTCCGAGTCCCGGCTAATTATTCCTCATGGCAGCCTCAAATCTTCTCTGGTCCACCTCTGCCTTAGATGAAGTTGTAACTTTAAATAAAAAACCAACTTGAGTCTCAATTCTCTTCCTATTGCCTTCAACAGATTCTTCTATGCCCCCGACAGGTTAACTTATCCAACACTTTTGTGGACCCTTTCTCACCTCCACCTCCAAATTGTACCCCATCTACAAGAGCCACCTGCCACTTGTACCAATACTACTTTCTTAAGCATCAGGCCAGGAATTCTTCACAGCCCCAATTCTTCCAGGAAATTTTCTCAACAGCTAATGGGAGTCCTCAATAGGGGAGCCCCTAACTCTGCCTCTGCTTCCTCTTGTGCGCAGCTTTTATACTGCCATCCTTTCTTAAAATATGAGCTTCCCAAAGGTAAGAGCTATAACAATCTCAATTTGTAGTGCGCCTAGGTTTGGCCACATATGGAATGATATTCAGCAGCTTTTGGTGCTGAAAATTCAGCCGTTAAATACACATGCTCAAAAGTGCTTGAAGTAAGGTTGAAGTAAGATACACTGGCTTCTTATTTTGGGGAAAGAATTGGCAGTGTGCTGGCATTGCATTCACTGAGAATTCTTCAGTACAAAGCAAGAACGGAAGGGAAGGAGCTGGCCATTGTCCCCAACTGCCCCATGTTTGCAGGCCCTAGAGAATGACAGGCTGGGTAGAGATCCTATGGGGAGGGAAGGTGGCAGAGCTAGACTGAGCCAATCAGGTCAAGAGGATGGGTCCTCTTCCATCATTTCCCCAGGGGCAGGCACTGCTATGGAAAGCCCTGCTCTGTCCCCAGGTTGCGTTTTAAAATAAGATATTTCATCTCAGGAATACATATTATATCTTTGGAAAGACACAAATTTTCTTACAGCAATTTATTATTTTTTTTAATCCTTACCTGAGGACATGTTTTATTGGTTTTTATTTTTTTAATACATATATATTTTTTGTTGATTTCAGAGAGGAAGGGAGAGGGAAAGATAGAAACATCAATGATGAGAATCATTGATTGGCTGTCTCCTGCACTCTCTACACTAGGGATTGAGCCCACAAACCTGGCATGTGCCCTGATTGGGAATTGAACTGTCACCTCCTGGTTCATAGGCTGATGCTCGACCATTGAGCTATGCTGGCCGGGCTTACTGATTCTTAGAAACATTGATGGGTTGCCTCCTGTATGTGCCCCTATTGGGGACCCAACCCATAACCTTTTGGGGTATAGGACAAAACTCCAATTAATTGAGCCACCTGACCAGGGCTGTCCCCAAGTTACTTTTTCATCTCACTCATTTTTATTCAAGTAGAGAAATAATTGCAGAATCCAGTGATCTGCCAAGGGTATCACGGAAGGAATGGTAATTTCAGCTTAATGATCTTCCTGTTCATCCTTCTTAAAAATTATTAAGCATGATGTTCTACAAAACCACAACAGGCCTTTATATTCCAAAGCTCACAGTGCTCAACACCAAAGGCAAGGATAACACTTTCTATCCAAGATGTACCAAGGTTTCAGGGGACCCTTTCACCTCCCTTCCAAGCAGAGAAGGCTTCTAGAATATCAAGGACTAATTCGATGACAGCAGGGAGGATTTTTGGTGACGGAAGTTTCCCCTTCACATAAGCAGCCAATATAGGAGGGAAACAGAAAAACCCACTGTGGTGGTCTGGAGCCTCTTGGTGTAGGTTTTTACCACTAGACAAAACTTGGTTTTGATCCAACTCATGGTTGCCTTGGCAGGAGGATGGGTTACAGGGAGAAGCAAGCAAGCAACCACCGAGCAGAATAGCTAACACTTGCTGAGTGCTTACTACATGCTGGACACTTTGTATGGGTTAATTTGACCCCCTCTAACAGACTGAGGGCCAGAAATTTAATAACATGCTCAAAATCAAAGTCACACAGCTAGCAAGTGGCAGAGCTGAGTTACAAACCTAGGCCTTCAGCATGGCGGGAGCCCTTACTCTCCACTGCCCTCCTGCGCTGCCTCTGCAGAGAAGATGCAGATGCCTTCAGGAATAGGTAATGCCAAAGAGGGACTGAAAAGGGGCAGGACTGGAGGTATGGAGGGGAGAGGGGAACTGATGAGACCAGGTTCCTTCTAGCTTGGATCCATAGGGTAGCAGAATGAACACCTCCTGGGTGTCAGTTTGACATCTAACAGGACAGGGAGAAGGTGCAGGAACAGGGGAAAAAACAAGAACTGACTCCGAGGGGGAGGCCAAAACGAGTGAACTGCCAAGGGCGTAGAAAGCGGCCTCTCAGTCATGGCTTTGCCTCAAACACCTCAGTGTGAGGTGGGTAACGGAACTACCAGGGACACTTCGTAAAGTATGATTGTCAAACCCCTAGGCTGTACACCTGAAACGAGTACAAAATAATATTGAATATAAACTATAATTGAAAAAGAAAGCCCCCAAAGAAAATCCACACAAATAAACCAAAGAAAAACACCGCCTTAAAAGCTGGCCCTGTTCAACAGCGATTCAAGAGGTGCCACCGAGGGTTAGGGCCGGTGAAAAGAACCTGCAACTATGAAGGGAAGGGGATGCCCTGTGTGGAGCCCAGGACTTACCAACACCCTGCATCTAGGAAGAGAGGCCCCACGTTAGGTGGCCAACTAGAGAATTCTGGTCTAATGTCAAATCCGGAGGCGCAGGCAGGGTCGGAGATAGAGCGGAATCTTCCTACCTCTGATGCAGCATCGCCATCTGCCCTGCCCATTCTCCTGGCTGAGAAGTGTGCACCCCAACAACCAGCGGGGCACATTCACTAGGCACTAAACATGTGTTTAATGAGTGAACGAGTGAATGTACGAGCAGAGGTCGGCTGCCATTTATGCACCAACAGGCGGGTGGGGTACAATGAGACCATCGTTGAGACCGTGCGCTCTGCCCATTCTAGGAAGCACACCTTCTTCACACCCGCATTTCCGAAGGCAGCCGGGGCTTCCAGATCTGGCCACCGGCTGCTTATGTTTGTTCAACCCGTAATGGTTTAACACAGGTCACGACTGTGGGGGGCTCCAAAAGCCGGGTCCCCGACGCGGGTCCGCTGCCCTGAAGCACCCTGGGACTTGTAGTCCCCACGCGGCCGACCACAGCCTCCCCTCAATACTCGCCAAGGGCCCTGGCTCCGTGAGTGGGCCCAGCCAGGCCGCGGCGGGCCGGGGTCGCCCCTAGACAGGAGATCGGGGGAGGACAGGATCAGCAGGCAGAGGAGAGCCCTACGGGTCGGGTGCCAGACAGGCGGCGCCAGCCACGGGCCAGATGGCAGCTGAAGACGGCGGATGGCAAAGGATACGGGAGACACCACTCACCATCATTTTGGAAGCGTCCTCTGTGGCCCGCTACTCCTCTCCTTAGCTCAGCCTCCGGGCCGCCCAGCAACCCCACAATGCCCTGCGCCAGATAAGTCCCCAGAAGGTTCGACTAGCGTTAAACCGGTAGAGGAAGGGGACGGGTCACTTCCGTTACTCTATGGTTCGCTACCAGAGAGCCGGTGTGGCTAGAAGGGCTAGAGGCGGAGCCTCGGAGGGCGCTCTGGCAAGAAACTTTGGTTATGGAAGATTCGCCAAATTTTGGTCGTGCCCTTATTTTTTTTTTTTTTCCTGAGCATGAAAGATCCTTGCTTGGCCCGCGACACCTACTATCCTTAATTCCATCTTATCTCCTCGCCCTGGACGCCAGACCAAGGAATGAAATAAATGCAAACATTTATTGAACGCTGACTGTGGAGCAAGCTTATGCTAAGTAAGCTCTTAACATGAGTTTTTCATTTAATGCTCACAACCCTGTTGCGTTGGTATTGTTACCACGTACATTTTACAGACGAGGACGCTGAGTCTGGGAGCTTAGGAAAGGTAGCCAAGGACACAATTGCACAGAAAGTGGTAGAGAAGCTGCCGTGGGCACCGGGTCCTAATGTCCGCTTTCCGGCTCTGCACTGGCCAGAGCCTCCTCGAGGGTGGACTGCACCTGCCGCGTCCTCGGCGCTTCCACTGGGGCCGCGCAAGCACTGGTGGGACCGGGCAGGGGGCGAGCTGGAGGGGCGCCGGCGATCACCTGGGTGGTAGATGAATATATTTCTGAGGAGGGGGTCGGGGAGGAGGAAAGCGAACTGGGAGAAGGCAAATCACGCCGTGAGGCGGCCGCGGGGAGAATCCCGCCGGGACTGCAAGAGCTGATGATCAGGACTTTCGGCGGCTGAAGCGAGTGCTGCCAGGTGCCCACCTCGTTCCTGCTCATCCCCTGCCAGCCCACCCCCCATTCCTGGAGGTCGCGCAGAGTCCAATCCAAACTGAGGAATGCTGGGGCGGGGCCGAGTGGGGGCCGCAGTTGCTGTTAAGAGTTTAGACCAATCAGCCCTCGGCCCCACTTCTCTCGACCAGTAGGAAGTGGGCTAAGGCGCAGAAGTGTGGCTAGAAGAGCAGGCGTCAGAGCCAATCAGCCGTGGGCCTCGTTCCCATTCGCCAACCAGCGGCAGGAGCGGGCCTGGGGGTGGGAGGCCGGGGCAGCTGTCAGGCTGAACTCTGGCGAGCAACGCGCGGCGGGGAGGCTGAAGGAAGGGGGGCGCCC